TTTCTTCCGGGAAGCACCGGGTCGTCTGTGGGGTGCTGGCTCTTGCTTTCCAGCACTGCCCAGTGGGCTGCTTCCTCCTCAGGAAGCCCCCGGTCTGATGGCTGTGGCCCCGGGCCCGGGCAGTGCCCTGTCTGACTGAGGAGGAGGTGGTGGTGGAGTGCTCGTGCCCCAGCGCCTGGCACCGGGTGACATTAGCTTCTCCAGTGCCCGGGCCTCCCCAGCTGACGGATCCGTTCGTTCCTCTGCACTGGCGGGGCCATGCGCAGGGGAGAGGCGCTCCGGCGGACCCCGTTTCTCCCCGGGGTGCACGCCTCTTTAACCTCGCTGCAGGCAGGGGCTGGCCCGAAGGGATGAGCACCCCCGCCTTAGACCCGTCCTCCCGCCTGACTTTTGCGCGGGCTCAGTGGAGGTCTGCGTCTAGGTTTCAGGCCCAGGCTCACCCAAGAAAGGGGCACCGCCCTGGTCACTTGCCTATTGTCCTTGTCCGGGAGGGATTCTCCCTCTGGACACTCACAGGGAGCAGGAGGCTGGGCCAGTCACCCCTAAAGAGCCCTCCCTTGGCAGCTCATATTTTAACTATTGAATGAGAGGCCGGGTGCGCAAACGCCTCACACAGCGTCTGGTCCCAGTGTCCCCCCCGAATCCTGGGGGGGGCAGGAAAAGCTGGCTGGCGGGCAGGTGGCAGTCTCCTACAAAGCAGAAGGAAGGGCCCAGCGTGCCCGTCCTCAGCATGTGGCCCCAGGCCCTCCCAGCCCGGGATTATTCAGCGAACATGGGATTTTTTTAAGCCACAGCTTGGACATGGCCTTCAGTCCCCAGAGCTGAGAGAGGGGAGCAGCCCATAGCTCACTCCCCTCCCCCTCTCTACTTCTCCTGCTGTTGGACTTGGCTTTCACTGTTGCTGAATGGAGGGACCGCAGAGGCCGCTGGGTAGACAGCCAGCTGCTGAGACCTAACTACTTGCCCCAACTTGCACACGCTAACCTGATCAGGTTAGTGTTAGCCCCGTGGCGGGGAGTGGGGATCGCCTTCTGCTGCGGGCTAACTCCATTCACCTGAAAACTATTGATCAGTCCCCTAGCCCTGTGACAGCCCTGGGGACACAGCCACCCACTGGGATCTCTGTGCCTGGCACATAGAAGTGCTCCGTAAAGATTATTTTTATTCATCAGCACTTCCCCACCCCCACCACAGTGTGGGCAGACTTGTGTCCTGCTCACCCAGTACACAGTAGGTGCTCAGTAGACGTTTGAGTGAGTGAGTGAATGCCCGAAACAACGTCCCTCAAGGAGCCCTCAGTCTGGTGAAGGAGACCGGCATGTAACTCACACAGAATTACTGAATTTGTACACTCAACATGGGGGAAATGTATGGTGTATGAGATCTATCTCAATAAAACTATTTGAAAAAAGATCAAATCAGAGAAGGTTTAAATTCGCATGGAAGTTTTGGGTATAAGAACATATTACATCTTGCAACATTTCTACTCATTTATAGTCCTTACAGAATGACCCAGATGCCTAATATGCATAAGACTGAAGGATTTCATTCACTGGACCGGTTCAGTAGATACATACATACAGAAGATCTGTATGTTAATGTGACACAGTCTGTTCATTCTAGGGAGCATTAATTGAGCATTTACGTTGAAAAGTTGCCCAAGAATGGGGTGCCTGGCTGGCTCAGTCAGTGGAGCGTGTGACTCGATCTTGGGGTCGTGATTTCAAGCCCCACACTGGGTGTAGAAATTACTTAAATAGAAACTTTAGGGATGGGGGCGCCTGGGTGGCTCCGTCGGTTAAGCGTCTGCCTTCGGCTTAGGCCATGATCCCAGGGTCGTGGGATGGAGCCTCGAGAGCCATGTGTTGGGCTCCCTGCTCAGCGGGGAGCCCGCTTCTTCCTCTCCTGTTGCTCTCTCTCTCTCTCAAATAAAATCTTTTTTAAAAAGTTGCATAAAAAGGGTAGAGAACAGTGGTAGGAGTGTGTGTCTATGAAGTAATATTTTTTTATGAATTTTTTATTTTTTATTTTAAGATTTTTATTTATCAGAGAGAGAGAGAGAGAGAGAGGCAGAGGCAGGCAGAGGGAGAAGCAGGCTCCTTGCCCAGGAAGGAGCCCGATGTGGGACTCGATCCCAGGACCCTGGGATCATGACCTGAGCCGAAGGCAGACGCTTAACTGACTGAGCCACCCAAGCGTCTCAGTGAGGTAATATTTTTTTAAAAAGATTTGAGAGCGAGAAATAGAGCACTTGTGCGGGGGGAGGGGCAGAGGGAGAGGGACAAGCAGAAGGACAAGCAGATTCCGTTGCTGAGTGCAGAGCCTGATGCAGGGCTCAGTTCTCACGACCTCGAGATCATGACCCGAGCCAAAATCAAGTCGGGATGCTTCACCGACTGAGCCACCCAGGCGCCCCTAAAGTAGTATTTCGAAAGACAGAAAATAAGAATAGAAAGTTAAAACATTAAAAATATTTGTACATTTCAATATATTTTAGAAACTTAATTTCTTTATGAGTTTATATAAAATACTGTTTGTATTCTGAACTTCATCTTTTTTTAAAAAGTGGTGTGTTGGTGATGCGAATTAAAACCAAAGGTTTTATGAAACAAAAATAGCACCAGCTCGTTTTAAAGATATTACCTGTTTAATAGATCATCTGCTTCCTAAGGGCAGTAAAGAGAATTGCAAACTCAGTGACAAAACCCTCAGTCCAAATATTTGCTGTGAAGCTGGTAGGTTCTGGTTGAAGTAACAACCTGACAAGGTATGATTAAGTAATCTGGTTTTCCTTCTGAAGGTTTTACAAATTTTAGTTATGCTGAGAAAATAATGATGAAGCATTTTTACTTCTACGATAGGTAATTTTTAACTTTATTTAACTTACTGTTGGGAATGAGAGATCGTTTCTTTTTAAAAAATCGGAAGCTTTGGGCACCTGGTAGGGGTGGGAGGGGCTCAGTCGGTGAAGCGGCCGACTCTTGGTTTCAGCTCAGGTCACGATCTCGGGGTCGTGGGAGCGTGGACTCTACTCCTCCCTCTCCCCGGCTCATGCTCTCTCTCAAATAAAATCTTAAAATTTTGAAGCATTTGCTCTTAGAAGCTTCATCACCAAGAGAACAGGAGGAAAAGATGCTCTTCTCTTGGAACTCTAAACCGGGCAGGAGGGGCCAGCCAGGGGTAGTGGGGCCAGCAGGTGGGGGTGCACATCCCGCCCCCTGCTTCCTGTGAAGTGGGGGTAATGGGTCGGTGCCAATGCCGGCCCCCAAGAGCCCTCTTTCCTTAGGGTTCGCTGGTTGCCAGGAGCAGAAGCCCACTTGCCAAGCCAGCAGCAACACACACAGCTGTAGGCAGGCTGTGCGGGGCTCACGGGGGGAGGGAAAAGGTGCACCAGTGGCATCTGGAAAAACAAACAGGCCAAGTCAGCTGCGGGATCCTGGGAGTAGGAAGCCTTCCCTGTGGGTATGAAACTCTTTCCTCTCAGAGTCTCTCCTGCAAGAACCGAACTGGCTGGGCATGGGTCATGCCAGGGGAAGGGCCCACGTGACTGCACTGGGAGTTGGTGGCACCAGGGAGACCCAGTCCACAGTGCCCACGCCCCCCAGTGGCACACAGTGGCCGCTTAGTCAATGATACGAACGAATGACAGTATGGACACAGGGAATCTTGGAATCTGGGGCCCCAGAAGGACCTCGGCAAAGGCTCCAACGGGCTGACTTGTCAAGACCGCAGCGAGGGGCCAGAAGGGCCTTGGACAGCCCTGCTTGCCCACCTGAGCCCTCGCGCTCTCGACCACCACCCGTCCCGGGGGTGCTAAGTGGGTGCAGAGTTCACCCCAGAGCCAGGGTGTGGGTCCCTGAGGGCAGGAATCCTGCACACACTGGGTGTTTGCAGAGACGAGAGGCCTTAGGGAGGCCACACCCAGAGTGACAGAATGACATGGGGGGTGGCCCAGCTCTCCAGGGGCACGTGGGGCCGGGGAGTATGGACTGGGGAGCCAGGTGGCAGCTCCAGGCTCCGCAAGGGCCCCTCTCCTCCCTGCCCACCATGCGGGTCCCACCACCGTGCGAGGCGCCGCCACCCTGGGGCCAGCCCTCACAGCCAAGGCCACATACGCTTGCAAAGAGAGACGGGCAGAAAGAAGACAAGGTCAGTGCTAGCTGCGTCCCAGTTTCTGTTTGTTTATTTTTTTGTTTTTGTTTTTTTTTTTTTAAGTATGGAAGCTCAAGTATAAGATGTAGATTTTTCTTTTTTAAGCTTTACAAAAAAACAAAATAAAACAAAAAACTCCTTTTGCATTCCATAAAAATTGACAGAAAAGCACCTGGCCAGAAGAGCAGATGGTCAGCAGGCCCCACCCCCGCGTCCCCACCACGTGGTCTCCGTGGGACAGGGTTCCGTCCACGGGGGGCCACCCCCTTTCTCGCGGAGCTGTCCCCTGTCCCCCCAGCCCCAACCCCCAAGCAACTCCCAAACACACGTGGAATCAGATTTCCAGTTTTTCTTCTCTCTTTCACACACCACAGTTAGTTCATAAAATTTTTTTGTTTTACATTTTTTACACCAATGTAACAAAAAGGTGGGAGGGAAGGGGAGGCAGACAGTGTATTTTATGCCTATAAATGGGGGGGAGTAGACGGGGGGCTGGGGCAAACGAAAACACACGGTCTCTGTGGAAATATGGAGAGTTCTGATAGCAAAACGTGGTGGGAAGGAGGCCTCAGAGACGGAGGGTGTTTACTGGGCTTTATTCTCAGGGAGAGATGGCGCCGTGCGGCCGGTGAAGCCGGTGTTACGTGACCTGGTGGGGAGGCGAGGGGCGAGGGAAGGGAGCAGAGGACGAGTTGTCTAAGAAAGGAACCTAACGAGCGCGTGGCGTGTCCGGGGAGTGTGGGGCCGAGCTCTAACACTGCTGCTTTCTCTTCAAGGCCTCCACCAGGTCGTTCTTAAGAGCTTCTTGCTTTGATTTGTCTGCGAAAGTCTGCACAGACCTGCCAGGGAGGAAAGGAGTCGATGAGTCTGTGTCATGGGAGGGGGGGCTGCGGCGGCGAGGGCCAGGGCGCCGCAGGGCTGGGTCCCGCTGGCTCCCTGGGTCCCGGACTGGGCACCCCCACGAGCAGCGCCGAGGGCCGCAGCGCCCGAGACCCACACCCTCGGCCCCTCACCAGGAACCACAGGGGAGGCGCACAGCCCACCTGGGCAGGTGCTCACCTCTGCACGGGGGTGGGGGTGGGGGTGGGGTGCTGCCTGGTTGGAGCCAACAGAATCCTAATCCACTCTGGGGCCTGAAGCAGAAGGTGGCTCCTGGACTTCCCCCTCACTACACCCCTGCCCAGCAGAGGCGGCCCGCCGCTCACCCCCCAAGTGCAGGGTGCAGAGGGACTCCACTCCGTGAACGTTTAAGACCCTCTGGACAGCTGAGCAGGCTGGGTTCACGTCCAGGGCAGCGCCTGAAGGGCAGGCGCTTTGACCCTTCTGCATGCGACACCATCAGCCGTGAACTTGGCCGAGGAAATCCCTCGGCCTGGATTTCAAGAGGCAGTATGGGACCGAGATAAGAGGCCCTGGGTCCCTGCTGGGTCAAATCCTGGGTCTGTGGGGACACGCTGCCGTGTGTGCACTTGGGCACGGGTATTAACGCCCCTCACCACGGCGAGCCACCGAGCTCCGCAGAGGCCGGACGGCTTACAAAGTGCTTCCCACACACTTCTCCTCTCCCTCTCTCAGCATCCCAGAGGGGGTCCTACCGGTGTCCCCAGTTCACAGACGAGGACACGGAGGCTCAGGGAAATGCCCCGACAATGGCCGGAACGGTCACTCTGTCAAACTGACCATTATGTCGACCAATCAAGGACTTATCAAACTACTCATTAACTTTCCAACAGTTCTGAAGCAGAGGACAGAAGGGGTGAGGGCTGCCCGGCAGGAAAGCTGTGGACACCAGGCCCCATGGGAATCCCCAGCTCCACGTGCATCAGCCATGAAGAAGGATGGTGAGGAGGAGCCAAAACATAATCCTCAACTTCCCCAAATGGGTAAAGTAACATGAGGCAGTACCTCGGAGAAGAAGAACATCCCAAGTTGAGTTCTGCATCCCAGAAACCTCATGGGAAGTGGCCTCCCAACGCTCTGAGGAGGGTGCAGGCAAGACCATCCCTGAGCCACTAGAAACTCTCCCAAGTGCCATCCTTTCTGGTTGAACATTTCTGAACACCTGCCCTGGTGGCCCTTGGCTTCCATTCTTTGCCAGTCCACCACATGCTTCCGGAAAAGCTCCCGGCGGGAGGCTGCCCGCCCTGCATGGGTGCTGGCTCTTCTGGGAAGGAGGAGCCAAGCACAGCTGTGCCCAGCCCTCAACCCCCACAAGGGAGAAAGTTCCAGAGTTAGAACCAGAGTGAGAATCAGGTAAGAGATGGGAGATTGGGCTTAGAATGACTTAAGAGGTATAAGGACCGAGACATTCATTTAGGGGACAGAGTTTGGAAAGGTCACTGCCAAGCCATGTGAAACCAGTGTGGGAAGGAGGACACGTCCTGGACCCCTGGAGTGCCAGCTACCCACTGCTGCGGGGGAGGGGTGGTGGTGGTGGTGGTTTATGCCGGGAAGTCTCCAGTGGTGGCCACGGGACAGGGATCTAGAAGACTTCAGAACCCCCCTCCCCCCAAAAAGCGGAGGGACTGGGAAGAAAACCGCACTATCGTGGCATGCCTTAAAAAGGAGGTTTTCTCCCGCTGCGATGGGAATGTGATGGTCCCAATGTGAGGCCAGACAGACGTGCTGAAGTCCCATGAACGCAGAGCAGCCGAGCCACCTGGTTCCGTGAATGGCCCCACCCCACCCCGCCCCAGAAATCCTGCTGAGCCTCTTCAGGGTCATGCCCCCAGGGGCCAGTCCCTGGGCCTGGGCATAAATCCCTTAGCCCTGGGCTCTGCAGCCCTGCCCTGCCGGCTCTCCAAGCGCCTTCGATTAAAAGTAGTTTCCCTCCCCTCCCGGGATGCCGACCGCTTTCATACACCTGTATCTGTCCATGCTCAAGTTGTGGTTCTCGGCTATGCTCAACAAGCAAGACTATTTCCCTTCCGTCAGCATAGGTGTTTAAAGGACGGCCGCAGCGTGTTAGGGGCAGGTTATGTGGGTCCAAGCAGCAAGCCCGGCCAGGGGAATTTCAGCCTCTGCTCTGTGCTCTAGCCTCAGGCTCGGGGCAATACACCCCTTTCAAAAGTCATGGCCCCCAACAGTCCATTTCCCACCAAGAAGGCTTCTGTGGCCTCTGGGATGCTGGGATGCTGGGGGGGGGGGCGCGGGGGGAGTCTGAGGCCCGGGCCGCAAAGACAGTGGACTCCGAGAGGCTGCCCAGGGGCAGGGGCCATGAGGAAGGCCGGGCACACTGCCCTGCTCTGCGGCCAATCGGAGCGGTGCAGACAAGCGGCTTCTGCTGGAGAGGCAGGGTTAATCCCCAGACCGGGCTTCTTCCAGAGCCAGAGCCAAACCCCCTCTCTGCCCCACACCCAACCCTGCCCGGAGAGCAAGACACACAGAGCACACACGTGACACGGGTCTGTGTTACACGGGGCCGAGGGGACACGTTAACGTGGCCGCCCACAGCCGTAAGCCGGCACACGGGGGTTAGTGGTGGTTTAAAGGGCCGCGTGGCCGTGGCTGGTCCGGGGGTGGAGGCAGGTTGGTGAGTCCTGTTTAGTGGGGAGGGTGCTCACGCCTCTCAGGCAGGGTACCTGCATCGGCTTAGTTATCAGGCTGGATGTGGATCTGGCGCTGGGTCAGCACTTGGGAAAGTTCCCTCTGCAGCTGCTGAAACTTGGGGTGGTCGGGGATTACGTCAACAGATCTACAGAGAGTGGTCAGAGATGAGTGCGGCGGGAGGGGGGGGGGCGACACACCAAGGAGCAGGTGGCCGCCGGAGACGCAGGGACGGAGCAGTGTCGTCAGGGCCCCTGCACTCCAGGGCAGCGGCACAGAGAGGGGAGCCACAGAGCTCGATGCTGGAGGCGCTCACGTTCCCGGCCCCCCCCCCCCCCCACGAGTGTGCTCGTGGAGGACAGGGCGCTGGCCCCACATGACCAGCTGACAGCGATGTTGCCAGAGCCAGGGAATAAAACCCACCAGGGGCCAGACCGAGTCCCCCATGGGCGGGCGGGAAACTGGAAAGATCAAGATCCAGAGGGGGCTCCTCGCTATTTTAAACTGTAAGAAGGAGGAGGCTAGAAATCTGTCACCTGGGGGAATTCACAAGTCAGGGGGCCCCCAGAGCGGCTCCCTGCCTCTGCTTCTGGCCCACAAGGAGACCGACCCACGGAACGGGGGCTCAGGGGGCTGGAGGCTGAGGGCAGAGCACCAGACCTTGGCCTCACAGAGTGGTCGGGCAGACGCTATCCCATCTGACCCCTGCCTCCCTGACCGGATGAGGGCCACAGAGCGGAGCCCCTAGCCAGAGCTCGTGCAGCTCAGGTGGGCAGCACCTGTGTGAACTCTTTGTTTTCTGACTCCACGGCCAGTGCTCATCCCACAGCCACCTCCCCTGCCCCTTTAAGGGGCTCTGGCCTCCTGCTCTGTACCCCTGTGGACTTGGAAGAGCCAGAGAGCCCTTCTCAGGCCTTCATTTGGGCCAATGCTGAAGAACCGAGGGCACAAGATGGGTGGGGAGGGGCAGCTGGGGACCATGGCCATGGCCACCAGACGAACCGGGGGCTGCAGAGGGGAGCAGGCCGCCCGAGGGGCTGCCATCCCTCACGCGTTGTGAGGCCCAGGCAGACGCTTTAGATGGGAATGGCCCGGTGGGGGACGGAGAGGAGGGGGCTCCAGGGGCAAGGGCACTGATGGCTGTCCAAGTGAGCGGCCCCCAGGAAACACGAGCAGCAGGGCAGGAACCAGCGTCTATGCAGGAGGTGTCTGACCTTTCAGGATCTGCAGTAACAATGCCACCAGGTGGGTACTTTAGCCGAGGGCACCAATGAGGAACCTGAGGTGCCTTGTAACTACCACGCCGCACACCTAGGATTCGAATCCGTATCTTCTGGTTCCGAAGCTCATGCTTTGGGGTACATTACCTCAGCCCATTGACGATGTCCTTTGTTTTTCCAAAGTAGATCTCATTCAGCGTACTTCTGATTTTGTTTTCCATGTCCTGGGAAGGGAGATCAGTCAGGCAGGACGACACACAGGAGGCCTGAGGTTCACACCCTCCCCTGGCCCCCCAGCCCAGCCCTGCAGTCCTCGCCGCGGCCACAGGGGGGAGGTGCAGGACCGCGCCAAAGCCAGGCGAGCCGGCCCCCACGGCCGAGATCCCCCCTACAATTTGCATTCTGAGCGCTTCCCAGGCTTCAGGCACTGGGAAGCCAATACTCAGGGACTGGTGGCCAGCGCTGACCATGATGGGAGCTGGTCTAAACCACACCACATCACCACCCCGCTGTCCCCCCCCCCCCCCCCACCGATTTCGGGCACAATCCTGTGAAGCCCGAGAGCAGCACCCCTTCTTCCAAAAGAGTGTGGCAAAGGGAAGGCAGAGGCAGCTGCAACCTGAGCCCATGGCCTTTGCAGGGGTGCTTCCTTCCTGAGCTCAGGCCTCTGCTGGCACCCCGTGGGCTGGGGGAGCAAGCTTCCGGGACCACGCACGGCGGGGGTGGGGGGTGGGGCAGGGGGCAGGAGAGGGGGCAGCCTGGGAGCTGAGCCCTGCTTGCATGCCCATCAGAAGGCTCAGAGCACGAGCCCGGGGCAACAGGGCAAAACCCAAGCAACATGAGAGGCGACGCAGGACCGGCGTGTGCTGTGGGAGGCGCCCCGAGCCCAGAGCCCCACTCACCTCTACCAGGCGCCCGATATTGGCTATGTGCGGGGAGCAGTCACTCACGGTCTCATCCTTCTCCATCTGCCAAAGAGAAGAACGCTCCTCCACGTCAGAGGGCCGGGCGCTCGGTGCGGACGGCAGCCCCTGCCCCCAGCCCCGTCCGCTCGTGTGGTGTGCGAAGTGCTTGGTGTTCCGGCCGCCAGCCGTGCAGCCAGCTGCAGGTGGTGCAAGGCCACCTGGCCAGTGGGGGACCCAAGCACGCAGGGACTGCAGCTGTAGGGCACAAACAGCTCAGCCGGCAGAGGCCCAGAGGCCCGGTTCCCGGAGGAGGGTCTCCTGCTGCCCTGAGCGGAGCACGCCCCTCCCAGCCCCAAGGCCACAGCGGGGAGGGCAAAGGGGACCACCCTGGCCAGGCACTGGCTCAGGCTGTCCATCCCCTCATACTTCAGGGGGGCATCCACCGTGCCCCGACTGCCCTGCGATCCTGACACGGGGGCCTGAGGCTCAGATGGGAGGTGCCACAGGCAGTGAGGGCAGACCCCGGACCAGAGCCTTCTTACTGCACTGCCTGCACGGCTGGCTGCGTGGCTGGGGGAGGTTTGAGCAAGAGAATCTGAAGCCAGATTCCTAGACTGTGACCGAGGGGTACCCAGCAATCCGCACCTCAGGCAGGGTCGTACGTTCTGGTCGAGTTTTACTGAAAGTATTCAAAGGAGGCGGCAGGTGGGGCAGGGTAGAGGGACAGAGGACTCCTGACCTGTGCCCTTACGCAGGAGGTGCGGACCCCCCGCCTCTCCCTCTGCATCAGGCTCATTTCCCTCACGAGACCGTCGATCCCTTAAGGAGAGGTTCCCCTGTCCACACCCTGCGGGGTGCCCGGGAGAGCGGTGAGCACACAAATGCTCGCTGTTTCAGAACGGAACTGTGCTTGAAAATTAAACATGGACGCTGGAACAGGTCATCGTGAGACAGGATAAAAAGCTAGGAACGCAGTATCGGGACAGCCAGAGCTCGGGACTTGAGGCACGTAGAGAAAGCACGGGTGAGGCAGGGAGGTGAATGGGCTTCAGAGGCTGGAGACCTGGGCGGACGCTCGGGGAGCACGGTGGTGGCTCAGAGGTCAAAGGCTTTGCTGCCGCTTCTCACTTATCTTGACTTCTCTATCGGGGGAAACGACCGTCAGGCCACAAACGGTAGAAAAGACCCAGTTAGGAGCGAGATGAGGCCCCAAATGGGCGAGCAGATGGCAGGAGAGACCCAAGTCACTTTCACAAGTCCGATTCCGCGGAGCAGTCAGCCATCCCTGAAAAGCGACCGCGTGCTCAGGAGGTGCTGGAAGGCCTGAGGAGGGCGGAGGCTGACCCCGCTTTCACGCAACAAGGAAGATGAGAGTTGGAAATTAAACATGGATCTGACAGCGAGCCACACAAGTTTTGATGGGACTGTTTAAAACTCATCTGTTGGCACATCTAAAATCAACTATCTCTAATCTAGGAATCCACATGCGCTCATCGTGAACAAGGGCCACGAGAACCCCTGATTTCCTGTTCTGATGGGGAGGCTGGGAGCAGAGAACTCCTCTAGGGGTTCTCCACACACCACTGGCAGGTCCCACCGAATCCCCTGTGGCCATGGCTGGGATGCCAGGTTCCCCAGGCGGCCTCTTTGGCGTCCTGCAGGCTTCCTGCCTGGCCCCGAGCCAGCCTGCCCGTGTGGAACTTAAGAGAAGGCACAGCCGGGAGCCTTCTCAGCATCCTGGTGACAGCGAGGGTCCAGACGATCAGAGCCCAGGAACGTGGGCTGCTGCAGAGCACGGCCAAGTGCAGAGTCGCCTGTTCTACTCAGCCTCTAGAAGAACGCTATTTTCAACCCAAGGACATGGAAGCTCAAAGATGTCCTCTGCCCGGATCACGGCACGTTTGCTCTTCCTGCCTCAGGTGGCTGGGGCAAGTGCGAATCACACTCTGGGGCTCAAACATGAAGCTCACCGAGTACAAAACGGGAACCAAGTCCTGTGAAGACACACGTGGTTCTGAAGAGAATGTGACGTGCAGCCCCAACAGCCTTCACACGATGTCAGGGACAGGACCGGTTACCGGTGCCCAGTCGGGGGCAGCGTTCCCAGCCCGGTCCCACGACGGCACTGCAGTGGCGGGGCTCAGGAAGGTACCGGCCCCGCCACATCCGCAGGGCTGGATTCACTTTAGGTGCCGGGTCTGAAGAGGCCCATGGGCAAAGCTTGAAAGGTCTGAACACCCTGACCCCAAGACATGGGCAAGAACGGGGTATGTGCCCTGCTCCCGGCACCCTTGGGCCAACGTTCCTGGGGAGTCTCGATCCTCAGGGACTAGCCGGGTCCCTACAAAACAGCAGTGAGAGTGCTCCTGAACTCAGAAGGGAGAGCTGCTCCCCATCACTTCAGGTTTCCTAAATACCCCACCCTGGGCCATCCCACAGTATTTGTTGGAACATCTGCCCTTGGCCAACCCCTGCTGCCAAGACGACTGGAGTGTGTGCGTGTGGAAAGAAGCTGGGAGCACACTTAGGAGGAAGGATGGTGCACCATCTACCTTTTTTTTTTTTTTTTAAAGATTTTATTTATTTGAGAGCGAGACAGAGATAGCGAGTGAGAACACTGAGCGGGGAGGAGAGGGAGAAGCAGGCTCCCCGCCGAGCAGGGAGCCCGATGCAGGACTCAATCCCAGGACCCTGGGATCATGACCTGAGCCGAAAGCAGCCGCTTAACCAACTGAGCCACCCAGGCGCCCCCGCCATCTACCCATTTTTAAAAGGGATTTTTGGACACCAATACACTCGGACTGTGGGCTCTTTCCCCCCACGTGGAAATGGTTCCTGTGCCCAGACAGAGGGCAGCTCAGAGAGCCGCTCTTCTGGGCAGGGAGAAGCCGGGGGTGGGGGGTGGGGGGGTGGGGGGGTCTGACCCAGACGAAACCTGTCCTCCCACAACGAGCAGTCTCTCGTCTTCCCCAGCTCAGTGCAGGGGGCAGGCTCCTGGCAACCTCAGGGAAGCGAAGAGGCTCTGAGCTCACAGAGGGCCCGTTTTATTTTACTTTTCATTTACTTTTTTAAAGATTTGTTTGAGAGAGAGCGAGAGCATGCACACACACACACGAGTGGGAAGGGCAGAGGCAGAGGGAGAGAGAATCCCAAGCAGACTCTGTGCTGAGTGCAGAGCCCGCTATGGGGCTTGATCCCACGACCCTGAGATCACCACATGAACCGAAACCAAGAGTCAGATGCTTAACTGACTAGGCCAACCAGGCGCCCCAGCGAGGGCCCCGTTTTAAATGAGTATACAACAGCCCAAAGTGAGGACCAGGCTGCTGGCAAAGGGGTCTGGGCCATCAGGGTAAGTAAAGTCACATCAGCAATCCAACCTCATGGAAATCATCTTTGTGCTCCAGAATCAACCTTCCAATGAATCGAAGTGGTGAAACCACCAAAGAGGTCTGGAGTGGGTGTGGGGGCAAGGCAGGGGGGAAAGTGAGGAGGCCTGGTTTCCTCTAGAAGACGGGACTCCCCGGGACGGCAGCAGGGGTCCCTAAGCTCGTGGCAGGGAATCTGAACCCAAGGGAAAGCCTGGCAGGGACCGGGGAAGGGAAGGAAGACATGGGCAAGGGAGCGGGCCGAGGCCTTGGCACACACCGACGTTTCCACGGCCCCCTTGCCCACACCCCTGCTCGCTCCCTCCACACCTGGTCAGGGTCAGCTTGCTGGAAATGCTGACCCACCAAAAAGAGGCCTATTTTTGTAATGCATACATTACTACATCCTTATAAAAGTGGCCGCCAGACGAAAACATTTTTAGGGCTGTGGCCACACAGATGTTCCACAAGGTGGTTCCAACCAAGTCTGAAGTCAGAGCCCAGCCCGCCCAGCCCGCCCAGCCCCACCAAGCACCTCTCTCTCCTCCTCTCTGTGGCCTGGAGATGGAAGGACACAGCAAGTGTTTAGAAAGCAGGCCATCTTCCTCAGAAGGGGGGGGGGTACAGTCTCCCCGGCTGCTCTGCGGCATCTTCCGATAGGCACGGCCCCAGGGGGCGGGGGGCACTGGGGGAAGCCAGCCCCGACTCCATGGCTCCTGCTCTGGAGCCCAAGGCCTGAGGGCCTCAGCCTTCTGCTGCATGAGCTACCACTCACATGATGCCCAGGACGGGACCTGGCAGAATGGCAGCTCCATCCCTGGGGCTCCTCCGGCCCTGTCCTCCTGGTTACTGACCTGTGCCCCGGGGAAGAGCTGGGCTGGAGGCCAGGACTTAACCTGCTGTCAAGTCAGAAGACAGTGGTCAGAGAGCCTCTCAAGAAAGGTTCGGTTTGCCCAGATGAGCGAAATTTTAATTGAGCTTAAAACTACATATATTCCAGAAGACGGAAAAGTCTCCGCTTGTAAGGTATGTGGTAGGAGCAGAAACAGTTATTATTTACGGAGCACAGACCATGAGTCCAAGTGGTTTTTTATTTCTACTCTACAACAGCATCTCCAAACAGGCACTATGAGCTCGACGGTGAAAATGCTGGGTTTTGGAGAAGGGAAGTGAACTGTCCAGGCCATACAGCTGGGAAGGGAGCAGGCTAGGACCGCGCCAGGTCTGGATAATCCTGAAACTTGTGTTCAGACCTCTCTGCTCACATTCATGCACATTCTTTACCAGAAATATCAAAGACAAACCACAATCCAGGGCTCGGAAATTCCGAGCAGTATCCATCCCCGCCTCAGCCCCCTCCCTCCCCCTCAGATGTCCAGTCCCTTCCTTTCTGGCCTGACTGTCCCTAGAAGCCCCAAGCTGAAGCCCCTCCACCTTCATCCCTAGTCCAGGCCACCTCCCGAAACACCAGGAGCCGGCTGCAGCTGGGCCTCCCCCAGCGAGAAAGCATGCCCTGAGCCGTAGGCCCCGCTCCCCTACATCCGGCCGAGGACCGAGGGCCGAGGGCCTCCCCCCAGACCCCCCGCCTTCTAGAACGCACCGCCTGGCCTGGCCTAAGCGCCCAGCTTGAGTCAAAGAGGATTTCCCTGCCCTGAGACACAGGCAGGTGTCTCTGCTGGAGTCTGACTGCGTGAAGATCTGTCACGAGGCGCCTACACTTGAGTGGGGAGAGAGCTCAGCTTGCAAAGGACCAGCCCAATCCCCCCAACTTGACAAAACATTCCACCTTTGTTTCTAAATATTTACAATCTGAAAAAAATATCAAACGACATTTGCAGGACCCATCCCCGGATCAGAAACCTTGGATCTCCTTCCAGAGATTTACGGTCTTGCCTCTTTCTCACGTCTTCAGCTGTCACACAGGAGAAGTGACCTCTCAATGCAACTTCCTTTTCAACATGCTGGTACTTGGCTCGCAACATTCGTCACTTGCTCCACAGCCCTCCCACTAGGGTCTGGTGGCAGTCCGCCAAAGGGCACCTTCCGCCCTCCTCCCCTGGAAGGCCTGTAGGATTTGGCTGTGAGGAGCTCCCACAAAGACTGCTGTGCACCCTTCCTCCCCAGCAACCCCCCCCCCCCCGCCACGCCCGCCCAGCATGAATTTGCTAAAACACTTTAGCTACCTGCCTCGCCTTCCAGCTAGGTGGGAATGGAGGGAAGGAAGGGCCAAAGGGGAGGTGATGGGAGAGGGTGCCGAGGGAGCACAGGCCAGTGCGCACCTGGTCTGAACCCACGGGGGCCCCTCTGCAGCCTGGGTGTCACGACCAGAGGTGACATGTGGCTCAATTCCCGGGTCACTGTTAAATTTACCAACAATTTAAAGAAAGCTCTCCATGTCCTGCACTTACGCTCATAGCCACCTCAACTGAGAGAGGAGAGGCCCGAGGGCAAACTCCGAAGCTGGCGAGGGACCCCTGGGGAGAGCCCTGGACCTTCTCAAGATGGGGCGCGAGTGGAGGAAGCAACCCAGGTGGGCCTCTGCAGAGGAGTGCTCCCGATCACTGGCCAGGTCAGCTTGCAGGGTCGGTGCCTGTTGACGTGAGGTCCTCCCTTCCAGACACAGATGACGCAGGTGTGTGTGGCTGTGTGCTGAGGCCTAGCTTCCAGAGGGAGAGCCTGGGCCTGGTCGCTGTGAGCACTGCTCGATGGAGGGAGCTCAAATGAGGAAGCCGCCTCTGATCCCAGGGCTCACGTGGTGGAAGGTCACCCGTGCCTTGCCCGCTCTACCCCGAAATGTCTCCCGCCCTGTCCCTCCTGCCTTACCCTTCTCCTCCTTGAGGCCAACACCAGCTCTCCTACTGACCTCCTGGCTGCAGGCTTGTCCCCTCCAGCCCTCCTGGGCTGCCTCCATGTGGCCCGAGTCCCCTCACTCCTGGAAGACTCTTAACAGCTCCCTCCCCCTGCCAACTCATCCTCCACGCCAGCCCACAGAGCCGTTTTCTGGAAACAGAAATCTAATCAGATTGTTCAACTGACTAAACATCCTGGAAGACTCACTACCTCTGGTGGTGAGCATGTCTCATGTGGCCAACCTGCTTCCTATAGAAGAATCGACCTTAAGGCCAAATGAAGGAGACACCCTGAGGCCGGGGCTGCTGCACTCCAGGGAGGCCCGTCCCCTCCTCGCGACTCCCCAGGGTGTCTGTTTCTGGGGCCTCGCGCCCACCGCAGCTGCCCACACCGGCTGGAGGCGGAGGGGCGCCCACAGGGTGGGGTCCTAGCCACACTGCGCTCATTGCTCCGTGCAGTTCTGTGCAAACGTTTAGTTACCTACTGAAGGCCAGGCACATGGGCCAAAGAGCAAAACCTTTTCCTAAACAGACAAATCCGGGTTCAAATCCTGGCTCTGCCTCCTACTAAATAAATCCTCGTGAGGAAATCACTTCAGGGCTCAAACGCTGGTCTCCTCACCACTACATGGGAAAGGTAATGTTACCTTGCTTACGTCTAAGCACAGAGATAACCCCCGCCCCAACCATGCACGTTCACCCTTTATCACGGGTTTGCTCAGCTTGCCTGGAACCCCTTCATCTCCCATCCGAGGCAACCAGACGTTTCCCCGAGGTTCATCTGGGACACACAGCTAAACCCGCAACCCACATTTCCCATTGGCTCCGAAGCCGTGCACCACTAACTGAGCTTTGTCTCCCCTGCTGCCCTGCCCCTCCTCTCACAAGTGACTTACCCTGGAAACCAGCCCCAGCTTTACTGCACCTCAGATGAGTTACGCGACCGGCCATGAGGATGACAGAAGCATGAATTTCCTCATCAAAGCCCAAGAGCACCAGGCCGTCCAAACAGGCCCGCGGTGGCACCCGGTGTGTTGAGGACGGCCCCCCATCGGGCCTGCATGGCTTGGCAGGAGGTGCTAGTCGTGGCGAGCCGGACCAGACCCTGGCCGTGGGCTGGCAGCTCTGACCGAAACTACCAGGAAGGCTGGGGATTAAATACTGGTCCGGGTCACCGTCAACCAGTGGAATTATAAACACCTGGGAGCAGTAAGTGGTGCAGGAAGCCATCTCTGGATACAGATTTAGGATTTTCCAGCGGTGCCCGGGGGGACAGGGTGTGGGGGAGGCGGGCTGTGGTAGAGCTCGCTGCCTGGGGGCCCGGCTGCCCTCCCGGGCCAGTGGTTCCTGGAGGACAAGCGCCCGTGTCCATGCAGAACAATGGGTTCTGCCCCAGTGAGCACCAGCCTTGGCTCCAAGAGGAGTGGGGACGGCCCCGCCTGGGGGGCCAGCAACGGGGACCCCCAAGATCCCTGGGGGATCCAGGCTGCTCTGACCTGGCAGAGGTTTTGCATGGAGAGTCTAAGGCTCCGATGTGTACCCCAGGCATGCTGACAAAACACCTGCTCTGCACTCTTTCAAGTGCATGCCATGCTTTCGTGACTAGGCTACAGACCCACCTGAGTCACTAAATTCACCCTTTCACCATCTGTTCTTTCCATCAAATACAGGTATTAAAAGTATTCTGAGTTTTTATCTCATTTAAAAAGACATGGGTGGCTCAGTCGATTAAGCATCTGCCTTCAGCTCAGGTTATGATCCTGGGGTCCCGCGATCGATCCCGCCTGCTTCTCCCTCTGCTCCTACCCCCGCTTGTCCGCTCTCTCTCTCTCTCTCTCTCTCTCTGACAAATAAGTAAGATCTTAAAAATAAAAATAGAGCTCTTGACACAGGACCAGAGCATGGGGATCCAGCTAGATGGGATGGCAGGCACAGGGGACCTTCCTAAAGGAAAGGATCAGAAACATTCACAAAGGAAACGAACCATGTTCACTGAGAAACAACTGGCAGATTTAGAATTCTTGTTCAGCAAGAACCCATACCCCGCTCCCAGCCTTCAGAAAGAAATGGCCTCGAAACTGGAGATACATCCCACCGTACTGCAGGTTTGGTTCAAGAACCACAGAGCAAAAGTCAAGAAAGCCAAACAACAGCAATTAGCTGGGGTGGAAGTCAAGACCAGCTCTTCCAAGAGACACACGGATGCCGCTCCAGGAGCCCCCGATGGTGCCTACCCTGCTTCCCTAGTTTATACAGATCACCCCATACCTTCCTTCCAACTCAGCATATGCTCCAATTTTAAGGCTCTCTCAGACCATCCTTCTGGCCACAAAATAGTCCATTTCGGCTGCTGCCGAGATCCTAACATCTACTCCCTATGTCCCATTACGGAATCCCAAATTCTTTCCACAAGCTTCACTGCTAATTCTTTGGGTTTTTCATCTCCACAAAGAACTTAGTGAGCAAAGCCAGACACAAAAGGTCACCTACTGTAACGATTCTCAATGATTCCAGACAAGAGACAGAGTCAGGATCTACGCAACATGGAGGCATTTCAGAAACGGGCTTCGTGGAAAAAAAAAAAAAAAAAAAAAAAGACCCACAAGTGCCCGTGGGGTGGAACTGAGTGGCAAGAGTCGCTCAACAAACTATTGCGATGGGGATGTTTCATGTTGTAATTCAGATGGCAGGAACCTGCATGTATAAATTCATCCAAAGACACAGAACTGTAATATTGTATAACATACACCACCAAAAAAAAAATCACGTGACAGGACGGAAGCATCAGCTAATGCCACTGGCAGTAACCATTTTGCAATATATAAATGTATCAAATCAACACATCATACACCTTACACTTATATCTCAGTAAAGCTGGAGACAACTTTTAAATTATATCTCAATAAATATATACAATGAGACTAAAAAAAAAAAATAAAAATAAAAAGATGTCTGCTATCAAAAGGAACCCCCGTGAAGTCAGGCACTACTGGCCTGGGGAGGGCTCCCCCTGGAGGACGTTCTCCAGGATGCTGCTCTGCGCCAAGGCAGGCTTTGGGGACACCCTGGGTCTGTGCTTTCTCCTCCCTTCACAGAGACAGCCCGATGCCCGGCACTGACCAGGTGAAGGCCGTCCCTTGGGATGGGGCTGTTGGGGGTCCTAGATGCAGATGCTTCAAGTGGCAGATAAGACGAGTCTGCTCTGGGGGAAGCAGCTCCCAGCTCACCGGAGGAGACACCTTGGACAGACAAGCCCTGCTAAGGACATCGGAGCAAAAGACCGCTGAGAGGCACGTGGAGCGGGGACATTCTGACGTGCAAGAAATACACACATTCGTTCAGATGACCAAAACACATTTGTCACATACACTGGTCTTGGTCCACGGTTCCCAGCTCATGGCTCCCCAAAGCCTTGGCATCTCCTGAGCTACAACAGGACCATCTTTTGTTGTAATAATATTTGGCCTCCTGTCCTCAGTTCCCGAAGTCACTTCAGAGCCACCCAGGTGCCCTGGGGGTCTTGTTCCTCGTAACGAGCCCCTTCCCACAACAACTGGGCTCATGTTAATGGGGTGATTTTAGAAAGCAGCTCAAAATGGGGGCTGGTGGTACAGGGAACTTTCAGTCCTCCTGATTTCCAGGCAGGGGAGAGGGGGCTTCAAAGAATGCTTCCAAGTGCCACCATGCTGGGACCCAAGCTCAACTCCGCGAGGACAGAAGCTCACATATCCCTTCCTAGAGCTGCTGATCTGTATCCTTTGGTATCTTCTGTCATACAGCAGCAGTCTAATGAGTCCGTGGGCTTCCTGAGTTTCTGTGAGCCACTCCAGCAAAGTAACCGAACCCCAGGAGGATTCGCAGCTGGTTGGTGAGAAGCACAGGGGACACCCAGGACTTCCGACTGGCATCTGAAGAGGTCTGCGGGGGGGGGTCAGGGGGCAGCCTTGTGGGACTGAGCCCTTCCCTGTGGGATCTGATGCCATCTTCAGGTGGACAGTGTTGGAGGAATCTCAACTGTAGGACATCCCGTTAGTGCCTGGAGAACTGCTGTGGGTGGGAGGAGGGGGGTCATCGTTCGCCAATGGTGGAATGGGGTGCAGAACCCAAGAGAGGATCACCTGCCAATTGTCAATGTGCAAAGAAATTACCTAGAAAATGTTGTTACATTTAGATCCCAATTTGGGGGGGAGTGGTCAGGGTAGGGCCAAAGATCTCTGCATGTCCAGGGCTGGGCTGCAGGCGGGGCAAGGCAGACGCCCTTGGGCTGTCAAGGAAGAAGACTGGCAGACGCGGCTTGCCTGGGGGGCGGGTCGTGGCCAGGGGTGGGGAACAAGAGCACAGCAAACCCCCCCCCCGCCCCCGCAGCACAAGATGGGCCTGAGCTACGGCGAGGGGGCGCGCCCTGCTGAGGGTGAGGAGAAAGCAGCCGCGGCCACGCCTGCAGCCCTCTGGTCCTACGGAGGCGAGGAGCCGGACGGAAGGGGCAGGCAGGTGTTCAAGCACAGACCACTCTAAGGGCATTTCTTTGAAAATGTGAAGCCCTACCCAGATGGTGGATTTATAGCTGGCTCAACAAGGTTCCCCCCTAAAAGAAAAAGTAGCCTAAGAAAGATGATTATCAGACTGATGCCTCCACCTGAGGAAGTCTCTGGTAGCCCTGCTGGAGGGCTCTGCATTTGGCCTTGAGCTAACAGGAAGCCACAGAGTCATCTCAGTTAATGTGCAAGGAACCAAACCAACAGGAATGGCTAATTAATACCTGGACAAATGAAACCAAGAATCAACAGAACTGTCAAGGGGAGAATGGATGAAAGTCAAACTGTGGGGACAAACGGAAAAATCTCACCTTAGAGAAAACTAACCACATGAGAAATGAGAAATCCTTGGCCCCCTGGGGGCTCACGTGAAAGACAGGGGGTGGGGGTGCCCGCCAAAGCAATCCTGGGCACGCCGGAGGGGAGCTTTTCCTCAGGACTGTTAATGGAGGCTGATGGAGAGAGAATGGGCGAGCCCCCTAGTTCTGCCCAAGTAGGGCGGCAGGGGTCCTGTCATGTTGGGAGGTGACCTCTCAACTCTCCCAGTGTCGAGATCCTGTGACGAAAGCAGCTTCTTCATGAGGGGACCGAGTGTGAGGAGTTTGAAAAGCGCCCTGCTCGAACCTACATGGAAGGATTCTGGTGAGCATCACTCAGCTCCGTCCGGGGAGCGCTGCTGTGCGGGGCCAGCACTCAGCCAGACGGCAGGCTCCACCCCGTGCTTGCTGCTTACCAGTCGCCATGGGGCACCTGCGCAGAAGGCCCGCAAACCTGCTTAGATGCTTAAGGTAGGCACATCCTCTTCTGGGTTCTCAGCTTTTATTTCAGCCTGGTCTCTCCTTTTTGGAGGCGCTGGCTACTGTCCGGCAGCAGCCTGCTGCCCACCCTCTGGCTCTGCCTCACGCCACGTACTACCCGCCCCTACTTACAAGATAACGCCCGTCAGTTTTCTGCACAAAGCACCTCTGCACCAGCGCCCAGGGCCTGCTGCCTGCCCACAGCATCCCTCCCCCTCCTGCGAAAAGCAGCCAGATTTTACTACAGGGAACTGACCCCTTTTCCATCGATACCATCCCCGGCAGTCACACGATCCGCACTCCGGCCAGACTACTTCATGCCCCTCGGCTTCGGGAAGTGATTTTGCGGTGAACACAAGTAACCGAGGCCAGGGAGACATTTCTGGGGTTAGGGCAGACCAGAAGACTTAAGCCAGAGGCTGCCAGGAGCTCCACTGTGGAGCTCCCCCAGTCCTAACGTCCTATGCCCAGTCACACCACAGGAAGCCTGAACCTCTCAGTTACGTGAACTGCCTTGTTTTCATTTTTGCTTAATGACAGGGTCTTAACTTCTGTCACTAGCAACCAAGGGTCCTCATGGGGGATTTAAGTCACAACAGCGAGATTCATTCATTCTGAATGTTATCAGGAGTATGTCCTCACCGTCCCAGGAGCATTTTAAAATGTAAATACCTTGACCCAAAGATAAAAGCTCTCAAGACCAAATCTCTGAATCTCTGGTGGGGAGATCCTGTCAGGCACAGAGGCTGCCCCAGGACCTCTCTCTGGGGTTGGCAAAGGCGACCCTACCTGTCTGGTCAGGCTGCCTCCAAGGTTCATGGTGCCAGAGCCAGATTTGTTGGTCTGCAGCCAGAGCATCACAGTGGAGGTCAGCTTGTAATGGGCAGTGCGACCACTGGATTTCTCCTGCGGGATGAGACAGAGGTCAGAACCCCAGGTGTGACCCTGAGCTGGGATCATTCTCACATGTCCCTTCCTTGGATGTGGGGCCACGACATGACCTTATAAAACCCTGGCTGGTCTCTAAAGGGACCAAATCTGCAATCATGGGATCTTTATCATCGGTGACCACTGCAATCCTGACTGATCTTTATCTAACTGACTCTGGGGCATTTTTAGGAGTGACCGGGGGTTTATATATCACAACATTACCCCCCCCCTTCAAGAAACATCTGCCAGGGAGGTGTACCTGCACTTCCACCACGTGGATGGAATCCCAGCAGCCCTTGATCTTCTTTGATCCATCTCCAGCCTTCTTTATGAGGATCACTCCAGCAAAGCCATGATCCAGATCCCAGAGGTAGACAGATGAGACGCCACCTTCAAAATACCTGCCGGAAATAGGCCCACGTGCCCATGAGATGTTAAGCCGGTCAGATTACAGATCAACAGCCCAGGGGTTCATTCGGCAAAGCTTCATCTGAATGTCTGTCTGGAATGAAGGACCCTCCCTCTCCTGTGATGGTTCCAGGGTTGACTCCTGCCCGTGTCCTGAGCACCTGCTGGTTGGGGGAGGGGTCCCAGAAAGATCACGGGCTCAGGAGTCCTAAATATGCACTGGAGTTTGAGCTCTGCCACCGACTCTCGCTCTGTGGTCTTTGGCAAGCTTCCAGAGGAAGGACCTAGCAAAGTGTGTGACGTGGAATGGACGCTCAATGGGGGTCATTACTACTGAGTAGTCGTCACTGTTCCACACTCCTATCTTCCGGGATGGCTATTTCACAGGGGCGATAAAGGGAAAAAAACCAGAGTAGCACACTCCTCCCCGCCAAGAGCCCCCCGAGCCCGGGCCACCTGGGCTTCTGTTGGTCTTTTGGAGCAACTCTCTGCCACCCTCTAGCCGGAAACGAAGAGCTGAGCTTAGGGCAGAGCTCCCTACTCAGGTTTGAGTCGATATGGAAAAATTCCTAACTACGAACAAATATAAGAAAAGGCCAGAGGAGAAAAGGAAATCAGGCCAGGGTCCCAAATCCAAGAGACCCAAGGTGACAGCGTGGCAGGGCCGGGCTGCCGGGGGCACAGGTGGGTCACCAGCTGCTGTGTGGGACCTCCAACTCTGCCGACGACCAACCGGAACGCTGGAAAACACGCATCTCTGCGTGCCTAGCATGTTCTTTACCAGCGCGCTGCTGAGGCGCATTCTTCACCGGCAAGTCTGTGGCCTCTCTGACCCCAATTAACCTCAGCATCCACAGTGTGGTAGGCACACTCTGGGCCCCGCCGGGAGGGCCGGTGTCGTGTGTGAGCACGGGCTCAGACGCGGAGGAGCCGGGCTGGCTGCACACGTGTGGTGGTGAGCATGGGCTCGGGGGGTGCACGGGGCCCAACCCCCACCCCTAGCCATGGCTGCACATTCCCCACCCACCAACTCTTTATTAAGTGCTACCAGATACCAACTGTCCGAACTGGGCCTTCGTTTCATCACAAAATAGGAAGATTCATACCTACTTTATAGGACTGTTGAGAGACAAAAAAAACAGGAAAGTAAATAATCTGACCAAAGACTATTATTGATTTTAATAACAAAAATAAGTACTAAAAATAAACACATCTGTAAATTCTCAATAAAGCTGTTACATAATAAAAATATACATGGTTAATGCTAATATTTAGAGAATGTGGGTGAAGGGTACACAAGAATTCTTTGTAAATTTGGAGGGGTCATTTTAACGTAAGTTCAAAACCATTTCAAACTAAAAAGTTTTGGTACAAAGGTCAGTGGGTGATACACACTGGAGCGTAAAAATCTGAGCAAGAGGAAGCAGCCTTTCCTCATGAGAACGACAGCCTCCTTCCTTGGAGCTGCAGGGTGCCGTGGTGCTAACCCACCGCAGGCGCCCCCTGGGGGCCCAAAGGGTGCACACGAGGTCTGCCACCCTCCCCGCTCCCCGCTGGGATTCCAGCCTGCCGCGGCTACCACATCCTGCCCCTGCCTCTCCGTCGCCACAGGCTCCACGGTGATTAAGCCGTCCAATGTGATTCACACCACTGCCCACCCTCACACCCCTGGTCACCTTGGGAGGCAGGGGAGGGTGGGCCTGGCAGGGCTGATGCAGCAGATGCCTGGTGAGGGCCTGCTGGACAGACGCACTGAGGTGCCGGCCCCAGGAAAGCGCAACGCAGAGCACACCCACAACTGGCGGGGGACGGAACAGAACTCAGTGCTATCCTAAGTGACCACCAAGAAATCTAAGTTCACCAGGAGTCACATCACTACCACTGAGGGAAGAGCAGCCCAGCTACTCCCAGTCCTGCTGGGGACAGAGTGCTGGGTTCTAACACTCGGTTTCCCCTTCGGTCGGCTTGTAGGGAGAGCAGCCCCACATCCAAAGGGAACAAACAGCTCTAAAAACTGTGGCTTTTCTTGGGCTGGCATGAAGAAAGGGCCAATAATCTCTTCTTTCCGTTGGCCAGCCAGGAGGAGCGAAGGCTTAATGCCCAGCGGTCATTCTCCCCCCATCCCACCTACAGCGTGTGGCCCGATCCCCACGACCAGAGCGTGATGGTGGTCTCGCCCCAGGCCCCGCGCGCCCTCTGTGTGCTAGGATGCCAAGGGAAGTGGGCCAGGCTACCCCGGACGGGAACCGGGAGAGAGCCCGGGGGCCCGACAGCCCTCGACGATACTACCTGGAGACCAGCTCCAAAGTGCCAGGCAGCCTACAGATGATCCCCTTGGTCCCCCATCCCTTAGATGTGTTTTCTTCCGGAAAATGGAACAACCACATTCATGTTTGATAAGGTGGAACTGGCCATTTCCACTCCAATGCCCCACCCGGTGGCCCGGCTCCCACTCCGGGCAGCTTCTCCCCGGCATCCTCAGCTTCCTTTGTGGGCCACACTGACCGGGCCTAACGTTCCAAGATGTTGGAGACCGAGGAGGGCAAAATGCAAACTTAATTCTGACCTCTACATGGGTTGCTCTTCTTTTCTCCAAAATTAAGAAATTCATTGCAAGGACGTTATAAAACAGGGAGATTGAAAAATTAGCCTGCAATACCATATGTCAACTTATCCCATAAATCTGATTTTTCCAAATCCCCCTCCAGTCTTTGTCCAGATGCGTAACTTTTCCGTAACGACAAGCACAGCCACGGTGCCGTGTTGAGTGCGGCCTCTGCACTTGGCACAGAATCGTTAGCGTTTTTCCAGGGAGCCGCACGATCTCCGCAACTGGTTTTCATAGCTAGGGTAGTATTCCACCGGGCAGTATCCTAATTTATAGCTGCTCGGACTTGTACTAAGGGAATGGCAGCCAAGTTCCCTCTCCCGTCGTCGGGGTGTTCCTTATCAGGGTGAGGAGGACGTGCTGAAACCCGGGCTCCGCAGGCAGGGCCCCAACACCACAACAATTCAATAACAGACCCGCATTCCATTCACCAAAAGGCATCTCCAGGCACCGGGGCGGCAGCAAGTCTCAACCTGACCAGGCTCCAAGACAAAGGGAGCAGAGGACTGCGCCATCAGAAAGGGCCAGTTCAGGATCTCCCGGAACACCAGCCTCTCCGACAAGTGCCGTCAGGACCGTGGTGAGCAGGCTGGTGGTGGGGTGACTGCGGGGCACACAGACAGCCCCCCCGTTACATGGTTTATGGCTTTGCTCTGTGAGTGAAGCATTAATTAAAGAGGGACCTCAACAAGTTTTTGAAAATTTATTCTTACCTACTGTACTTTGATCATAATGACATGAAACAGGAAAAAAATAATTTTTATGTGGCTCACATTTATGAGTTTTTACATAAAGGCTTTTGTGGGTATTTTAAGAATGTGCTAAAATGTTGTCTGAAACCACATAAAGCCATCTGAGGAGTCGCCGGCCAGAACTAACAGCACACACATGGAAGCACTTTAACTGGCCTTTGTATATTTAATGAGTCAAATAGCATTAATATTGTTTAAATGCTAACATGCCATTTCAATAAGGCGGCTCTACCATCACCAGCGCCCCGCTCTTGGGCCTTGCACGTCAATGTGAATGATCAAATGGGGCCTGGGACTGAGAGTGGGCTACGGGGGAAGCGACCGGCCCTACCCGGGGCTCTGCCAGCACTTGATCATTTCAAAAACCCCAGCCATCCAGGGAGGGAGGGAGGACAGACCCAGCACCGACTGCCACAACACTGCTGTGTGAGGCAAGGCCCGGAGCTCCTGCAGTGAACTCTCTGGTCAAGTGGGCAGCTCAGAGAACTTTAAAACAGAGAGGCCCAAAGACAAGAGCACAGGCTTTTTTTAGGCCTGAAATCCAGCCAGTAAAGAGGGTGAATGATATGTGAGCTGGACAACACAGGGACAGAATGCAGGGAGACTAGAGAAGCCCCCTGGAAAGTCTTGACCCATGAGGCAGTGGGGTCTTGGGAAGCTCCAGAACACCAGCAGGGGGAGAACGGCAGACCGGAGTCAGAAACTGTGCTGGTCTCACTGAAGAGCAAACCCCTTCAGCCACACGCCACACGCCACAGGGTTCCACACACAGTCTTGGGGGGCTTCCAGGCCTTTCCCAGTAAGGGTGAACATTTTCTTTCTTTCCGGGTTTTTTAATTTTATTTGTTTAAATATTTTTTAAAGTAAACTCTACGCCCAACGTAGGGCCCGAACTCACAACCCTGAGATCAAGCACAGTGGGCTCCACTGACAGGAGTCAGCGAGGCACCGAGGGTGACCGTTTCCTACAGCAAATGGAATGGCCGAGAAGTCAGACAGCTGGCCCTAAGCACATGGGGCTGCTGTGCGCTGGCTCCCTAAGTCAGTCCGTCTGAAAACTAGTACTTGCTTACAACAGGCGGTACGGGTCTCGTAAACTCCAGAAGGCCAGGGGCCCCACGGGACACCTCTGTCCTGGATGAGCCAGGAGCACGTTCACGACCAGCAGCTGGGCTACTCTGTACCAGCCAATTACAACAAAGCATCCGGTCAAGTTTACGCTCTATCATCCGATCCCTGAACGTGGACCAACTAAAAGGCCAACATGCCAGTTAGTTCTCCTGTCCTCAAGAGTTCAGCATTGTTTCTCCCGGAAAAGGACTCCTGCTCTTGAATCATGTCACAGTCACGGATACGGATTGTGTGTCCGTAACTCTTCAACCGCAGGACCTCTGAGGGCGGGGGGTGGGGGGGGAGGAGAAGGAAAACATAACACTTCACACTCAAAATGATCTACTTCACCAAAGAAAAAAGGAAAGAAACTATCTCAGCTCCCGAAGCCTTATGGAGTGCGCGAAGCCGGGCTGTGCATGGAGACCTAGCATGGAAACTTGTTCCGGGAATGTGAGCTGTGAGTGTGCATTATCCAATCCCCAGTCTCGGCCAACACCGGGCTGCATGCGTCACGGGGAAG